AGACTCGCACGACATGAAACCATGGTTGGAACCATACCCTTTGTTGGTAGAATCGCACGACATGAAACCATGGTTGGAACCATACCCATTGTTGGAAGAAAAGTCTCGCTGCTCAGGCAAAAATTGTGTCAGCTCGCCTGACAGACTGCCCACCCAAATCTAGAGAAATCGTGGTGGCCTTTCCTGGCCACGGCTTCTTACCAAAGAAGCCAGGCAGGCAGTGTCCTGTGTTGAGATTTCTGAGCTGCTTAACTACCTTGTACGGTTTCCAAACTTGGTGAAACGCAGACAGTGCGCCCGAAACTGGACAAATCTGTGAACATGCTTGGAAATTCGATCAGCATATGCAATAGAACACAAGACATGTAGAAAGCTCCCCAGGAAGAACTTCTCCGAAGAAGGCCCATGTTGATCCAAAGCACCGCGCGATCGGTGCAAACCATTTCAGGACGGCTTGTGCCATGCAGCCTTTCGCATCCTCGACCGGGATGCAGATGGGTCTGCTGACTCAGGAGGGTCTTTGCGAGCCATGGATTCCGTTTGTTCCCGAGCTCCTGGGTTTGGGCATTCAACCCCTGGCTTTTGTAGAGGGTAAATGAGCAACCAGCCCTTAACCACCAAACCAATCCAATCCAAACCACCAACTAGGGAGAAGCTGAGAGTGGCATTCATGCTCAGATGTGCCTGGAATGTGTTGGGTTGCGTTGCAAGCCTTGCCCAGCTGCAACACCATGTTATGCATGTGTGCGCAACCCGAAGGCTCTTCCAACCCTTCCAATGCAGAAATGGTTGGGAGAGGGTTAGGGGCCCTCCGATGAAGAACGCGGACCCCTGAATGGGCCCTTCCAAAGAACCCATGTTAACACGGACCTGGAATTTGCCTGCCTTTGTGCATGTGAGAGCCTGGGAATTCTGGCAACACCTTCAATTCCGAAGGTACATCGACGCAAAAGAGCTGGGGTCCATCCTACGCAGAGACGGAGGCGCGGGAGTCGGGTCTTCATCTTTTTTTTGTGCGAGAGAGAGGGAGGGAGTGTTCGATCGGATTCGCCTAAGGCCAAGATTAGCATCAGACACGCAGCGAAGAATCTTGGGCAATAATTGCAAACGCAAGATGTTGGAGCAGGAGTTGCGCCTGCAAGTGCAGGAAGCAATAGCTGGCCCCAGGTGCATCAGAAGAACTCCACGTGAAGTTTGCGAGACATGAGGAACCGCCATGATCAGTGCCACGGGCACTATGCCCGAGCCAGGCCAAGCTGAGGCCCCTCCGGAGGCTTGAAGCTTCGATGTGGGTGGGGTGGGGTTTGGTCGGCGGCTTGCAGTCTTGTTGAGTGGCGGGAAGGAGGAGAAACAAAAAAAGCACCAGCTAGGTCATGCTTCCAGGCTTCCGGATTTTCTTTCGCCACGTAGGGCGGCCCCGCCATGAGCGCAGGTCCTGTCCGCCATGCTGGCCGAAGCCTCGGGGGGTGGACCCGTCAGCTACAAGGACTGCCGACTTCCGTGGGTTGAGGTGCGAGTTGGGGCACCGGCGTGCGCGCGAGTTGGGGCACGGCTTGCAGGGCGGGGAGGGAAAAAAACGCCCTGGGCAGCTTTGGAGTGGAGGAAAATTGCAATTTGATCGATATACCTCCGCAAGGTGCCATGGGGGGAAAGGCGAGAAAGCGGGGCAATGATTCGATGTGTCAGGACTTTGTCCGCTTCATCCATGCGGCCGCCAAAGAGGCGTAGTTCGGGCAGCTCCGGTGGCAAAACAAGCAGCATGAGACGACGTGAACCTGGCCCATATGGCCCATCTACCTTTCAAGTTGGAGCTTCCCGCTGTTTCACCGCCGAAGAGTGAGGCGTCGGCGCAAACTCGCAATTGGGGTTTCGCCGCATATGGTCCCCAGGATGGGGATTCGAGATTTGGAGCGAGCGTCAGTCACCGTCGAATTGATCCGGGCTCGCAGTGCTTGCTTGCATCGTGCTGAACTTGCCTCGGCACTAAATGGGCCAAAGGCAAATGTTTCTGGGTTTCTAGGAGCGCCGGAGGATTGTACCTGGCTGCATTGCATGGAGATGGCACCAACATCCCAAGTGATGAAACTACAAAAACTCCAATGTGAGGTGGCACCATCTGACTGAAGGGTGCCGTGAATCTGCAGATGCCCCCAGCAATGCAGCCGCGGCCCTCCCCATTTCGCGCCCCAAAAGGGGGGGTGTTTCGTGGGGCTGCAGCCCTTCCGGCCGGAAGCAATACCTTTTCAGAAAAATGTTGCTGTCACTTTGAGGCTATGCATGAGGAACCTGGGTTTGCGCGGGGGGGGGGGCAGGGCAGAAGCAAAAATATTATTTTTTCTGCTGGGCATGTCGTGCGTGCGCATTGGTTCCACGAGGCATGTAGTTTTTTCTCCAACACTGCTGGCAAAACTTAAAACAACTGCGGGGAAAAAACATCAGCCAACGAAACCATGTTGAAAAACCACTGCACCCGAATGGCATGGCAATGCACGGCAGGACAGTTTGTTTTCCTCAGCATGCCTTGAACCATTGCGTTGGGAGCTATGCTGCAGATCAGCCGCGTTGCCGCCGCCCTGGATGCGCGACGGATGTTTGAATTGGCAAATGGGAACCACGTATTCCGATTCACGAAAACTACATTTCAAATGAACCAATCCATGCAAAAATGTCAAGGCAAACAGAGTCTCAATGTTTGTTTTTGCATTGCGGGCCTTGTGTGGAAACTTGCGATTTGCCCTTCATTGTTGCTCAGGTGCGCTTGGTGTTGCCGGGTGCGCCTATGCGAGCAAAATTGAGGGGTACATGTGGAAGCCAAGAATGGAGGTGTTGTGGAAGCCGGATAGAACAATGTTGTTTGCGCAGTGTTTGATACAGCCGTGGGGCCGTGAGAAACGTAAATTGATTGTTTTCGGTGCTCAACCGGCACGCAACGTAGAGGGGCTTTGTGGATAAATTCCTCGGATTGTTCTATTGGGGTAGCTTGGGTATGTTGGAATCTTTCATGTGTGTTTGGCACAAATATGTTTCCTCATTTCAAACTTTACGTGAGACATGTTTGCGATTTTCCGCAGTTTCAACTACCATATGCAACCCTGCGCGAGACCTGTTTCTTGTGGGAATCATGTGAAAAGAGTCATGAGGGTGCAGCGCAAAGATCCTTGACATTTTAGATACTGACAGGTGGGAATCCGACATGTGGATTTCTCTTGATTTGGAATGTAAGCCATGTATGTTGAAGAACACCACGGCAGCGAGATGAAATAACACATGTTGAAACATCATAACTGTGGCGTCTGGTTTTGCAGCCGAATCGTTTCGAATGTGAAGTGTTGCTTGCCTCGGGCAGAAACATAGCAGTGCCATGTGAATGTGGCTTGTTTTCCTCGCATTTTCTTGTTGAAAGTCCTGGGCTGTCGGTCGACCCTACTGGCTTCTCGGCAACTTCATGCGATTTGCCAGGGCGACTTGCATTTCGGCAGGCAGTGGGGCGAGGGGCAGGGATGTTCAGCCATGAATCGATGTTTGGTAGAATTGGTTCTTTACTTGTTTGAGGGTTTGTGTGTGTTTTTTGGAAGCTCAGTACCCTCCTTTTCAGCTGTGGCGTGTGTTTGTTAATTCCGCCCAATTGGACATCAATTTTGGGTTTGGAGGCTACAATTTGGACGGGGGGCTTGCACTGCAGGGAGTGTAATTTTGTGTAGCGTTCATTTCCAACGCACTACCTTGCTGCCCCAGCCTTTGCGCCCAAGATGTGTCCAAGTCTCGCACAGGACATGTGGCTTTGCTTTGCCAGGCCAGCGCCAGAGGTGCAGCTGCAGGCGAAAACTTCGGGGTTTGCCTGTGCGATGCGCAGTCTTGAACCAACCAGGCTAATCTGACTGGTCAGTTGAATGGTTTTTACCAACTCCTTGCGTTGGCCAGGTTGCAAGAATAAGCGCACATTAGAAGCCGAAGCAGACAAACAAGAACACATGAAAATGAAGAGAAGGGCAAGACTTTCGCTGAGAAGGGGCTAAGGCAGCTCAGTTTCCTTTCTGCCCGAGACATTGACGACGTTTGACTTTTGCACAGTTCGACAGGTTTCTTATGCTGGAAGTTTCACTGCCAAGACCCGTAAGATGTTTGCTTTCTTGGCCAGATCCCTGAGTAGCGATCCGGGCGGGAATCGGGGGAAGAAGGGAAGAAGGGGAAGGAGGGAAGAAGGGAAGAAGGGATTCAAATCCGAAAGCAGAATTTCGGCATTCGAGTCCCCAAAATTGAGCAGTCTCCAAGAACTTCTCCGGATCATGTCTCGTGCTTTGTGCCTGTATCCTGTTTGCCCGCATGTGAACGTGTCAGGTTGCATGTTCATCAAGCCCATGGTTCAAATGGAGCAACAAGGTGTCGAAGTTCCAACAAGGAAGGCCGATGTCGCAAAAACATGATTTGTAGCGCTCGTTGGTTGAGCGAACTCAGCCGCCCGACGTCAGGCGCGGGCGCTTCGCGTGATGAGCTGAGGAACTTGGTGAAGGCACGCTGGCAGTCCCAATGAGTCCTGCCTCACTGACCAAAGCCGACCTTTTGTTTTTTTGGTCTCCCCATTTTGGTCCATTTGTTGTGATGGCCCCAAGAGGTGAACCTTATATGTTCAGCTCCTTTGGGCAACTGAGTTGAGGATCCGTGGGAGGCACAGGCAACAAGGACACCCAGGCTATTCACCATGGTCGGATTTGACCAGGTTTTTGGAATGTTGAACAGAAAGGTCTGGGATTCCAAATTTCAACCTTGTTATTTTTTCGTTTTGACTTGAACGTTGAACATGTTGTGGGATTCCAAACTAGAATCTGCCTGGCCCGAGGGCCGGCCAGGTTCTCTTTTCCTCGTGTTTTCGTTTTCCTGTGCGTTTTTGATATTTTGATGATGCCCCTCACACTCAGAGGCACGAGAGCGGAGCAGCGGCCTTTGTGGCAGGAGCTCCACACCAGAGAAACAGTTCCAGAGGAAGAGGCGCCCCCTCGGGGGAAGAGCCAGTCGCATCTTCCCAAGTTGTGTTTGAGAGAATTGAGCACCCCACGACTTGCCGTGCGGATGGGTTTTGGGGCTGCTTTCAGAATTATTGTATTGTGTTTACGTTTTTTTTCTTCTTGTTCTTCTTTGTGTGTGCGTTGTTAACGAACACCATGCAGGTCTTCTGTGGAACATGCAACATGCCACTTGACACGCGGATGCCCAGCCGCAGCTTGATGTGGAGGGTATCGGACCTTTCAGACTGGCTGTCTCATACGTGGGCCTCTTGTTCTTTGTCTGACTTGTGGTTTTGAAAAAGACCCAAACGCTTAAGTTTCTCGAACTACGTTTTTGGTTTTTTCCCGGTGGCTTTGAAGGGAAACCCGAAAAACACCACCCGGAGGAATTGGTCTCCCCGTTGCGAAAGACCCATTTGGTCCTTTGGGCCAGCCAGGGAAACCACCATCTACAAACCGAAGTTGGAAAGATGATGGCAGAATTGGTATCGACCGTCACACAGGTTGGAGGTGAAACTTGAAACATGCAACTCACCCGGCTTTGGATCCTGAGAGACTTACGTGCAATGCGTAGACTCATTTTGAGAATAGTACAATCAGCGGTTCGTGCGTTCTTCATCTAGCAGCTATAGGGTTGGTGCGGCGCTGGGTCATGAGGAGGGAGACTAAGACGCTTCACGCGTGCTTGTTGGTAGAGGTGCAGTTTTTCCATAGAATCTCGAGACCCTGTAGCCTCAAGCAAATTAATTACCACACCGAGGTAAGAAACGGGAATGCCGCCACAAACACCTTCGTTTGAGCGTGACTCTTCGCCTTCCATTCTCATAAGAAGGCCACTTGCTGCAAGATCAGTCTTTTTTGAGCTGGTCGATATTGGCTGAGGAGGTTTCCCACTTCCAAATTCAGGTGGAGGCGCGAAAGCAAAGACTGGAGGACGCCTCCCCGCAGCTGCAGGCGTGAAATTGGCATTTGCCGTCTGAGTGTCAAGCTGTATCCCAACTTGTGCATTGTTTTGTTTCTCCGTGGGCACGGTTGTTAGGTTGCAAGTCATATTGCTTGCGCTGGTGAGTGCTGGTGCACGCAGTTGCATGCTCAACATAGGCATTGTGAACTGGACGTGTGACTTATGGGATGTGCCGCTTCCCCAACATACCATGCAAGCCAGGTCTTGACACGGTAAGGTCTAACGAGAAAGAGCTGGCAGCAGTGGATGACTACAGCAAAAAGGGTGCCCTTATTCCAGCCTCTACTGGAGGACCTAGGGAAAGTACCAGAAAAGGGCTGATCGCTCGCAACAAGACGGGGAAACATAGTGGCTTGCTAGTTGCAATTGAGAACGGGCGGAAGCAGAACAGAACCACGCACTTGTTTGTCTTGTTGCATTTGGCATTTGACAGCTCGCTGCCAAACCCGCGCAGAGCAACCTCATCCAGGGTGAGATGAATGATCGCCTCTCACTGCTCAAAGACCTTGCGTGTAGCTCAGTTGGCGCTGAGCACTGAATGGTGTTGCTTGTCAGCAACATGGCTATGGTAGTTCGGTTTTTGGGAGTGACAACGGGAGGGGGGGGTTCGTGAGTTGATTTTGGGCCAGCATTGTGTGTTAGCACATACTGTTGGCCTGGCGCTTCTACGATTGAGCAGCTTTCTACCTGCAGAAACCCCGAGACATCGCATTTGCTTGTCCAATGCGAGAGCTGCTTGGCTTGTTGGCAAGCCAAGCAAAAGCTGCATAGAGCTAGAAACAAGAACGCCAGCCAGCTAGCATGTGTCTCCTTGGATGTAACTGAAACACCCAAGAGCACGTGAACACTTGGAGGATGCTATTGAATCTTCAAATCTGCACGCAGGGGATGCACGGAGGATAGAGCATGATGGCATCCATCTTCTGCTTGGTTGCATGACAAGTCACAGTTCAGTTCGTTTGATCGAACACACCAGACATTCTCGCACGCCAAGAATCCCAACCGCCTTTGTTCCTATTGGTCCGCAGAAAGCCAACCTGTGCGTCTCTTTTTTTGTTCTGAGGCAGATCTAGGGCTGGTGCCTGGCAAGCCGTACCCCTTCGCCGTCTTCCTGCTTGCCTTTCTGGAGGCTCCCATGAGCGAGCCAGACATGAAATCGATCGTTGACCGGTTTAGGCAGTCCAATCCCCAAAAAAACGCTGTGCGAAGAATTAGCCTCCCCCCCCATTTTTTGTTAAAGGAGTTCTTTGTCATGTCTTGCTTTTTTTGGGTAGACAGGGTAGAATACCATACTGATGAATTGGGTGTAGTTCCATTGCAGTGGTTGTTGTAAGAGATCCTAGCACAAATGGCGTATAATGTGAGAGTCACTTTGTGCCACTTTGCAGCATTCAATCTTCCCTAGTCTGTCAGCTGTTGGACAATGGTCAATTTGAACAGTCGCTCTATTTGCAGCATGTCAAACCTTGAATGCTTGACCCTCGCATTGCTGACCCTGTTTGTCAGATATAACTTGTATACTTCATCTTGGCACATGACAAAGCACCTTCATTCTTTTGTAAGCGGGCAGCCACCGCGAGAGGTGTTTTCCTGGCATCGGTGCCCATGAAAATCTCATGGCCAGGAGTACATCAAAGGCATCGAGGCGCTTCGCGACGGAGAGACCACCTCCCAAAGAGCGGAGGAGCTACGAAAGGCCCGCGGCGTCGCGGTCGCGAATTACTTGGCCAGTGCGCATAGGTGTCCTTGTTGGTTGTTTGGGTAGAACAAATAGATGGCGATTCCTGGTTTCCCTGGCGGTTTAATCTACCAGGGCCATCTATTTCCCCTAAAAGGACACCCATGCCAGCGCGGTGTCTCGGAAGCCTGGGAGTGTTGGGCCTGTGAGTCTCAGCTCCTTTTCTCCATTTTTTTGCAGGTGCGTCGGTACACGGAGGTGAACACCTGTCGAATGATGCAAAAGCGGCAGTTGCAAGGGGATGGACTTCACATTGCAGTTTTCCCTGAGGCTAGTGTTTGATTTTGGGCTCCTGGCCTTTTGTGCAAGCTTTTGGGCATTTGCTCGGGCAAACACCTCAAACTTGGCACGGACAGCTTCTTTGCCTGTTTCTTTCCTCAATCGGCTTCAGCCGTCTTCAAATCGTTGGGGTCATGTGTCAATAGAAAAGGGCCTTCTCAGAAGATTCCACCATAGAATCTGCACCTGGCTCCAGTTTGAACAGCCACGTGGCAACAATCAAGACATTTCAGCGGCCCGTTGTTTTTCTTCTTTTTTTTTTTCTCTCTCTCTCTCTCTCTCTCTCTGTGTGCCCTGTATGGGTATGTCTCAAAATCAGGGAAACCTCCAAGACTGGTTAGTTTCCTTTTCGACTTCCCTCAAACCCTAAACTTTTGATCCAAGCTTTTTTCCTAGAAGCAAAAAAGACGAGAGCCGCCCATGTTGAAAATGGGACTTTGGATGGGCAGATCTTGCTGTGCTTCCACCGGGCGGGCCTGGCGCCGGACCGTTTGAAGCTGCTCTACGGCCACATTGCCGGGGACCCGGGGACTCAGGGCTCGGCGGCTCGGTCGGCGTGACTGGGCTGCCGGGCTGTTTGGCTACGAAACCAAGCGACTCTTGAGCATAGTTTGTTTTTTTGGGTGAGAAATAAATGGTTTCCACTGGTCTTGATGATTTTTTTTTTGGGGTGAGAAATAAATGGTTTCCCCTGGTCTTGATGGGTTGTATACGCCATCTATACCGGGGAAATCCATCAATTTTGACCCAACAGGTCACCTGGGTATGACCCGGCTCAGTTGACCGTTAGTTATGGATTCTATATGGGAACTCAGCCCCTTTCTTTCAGGCATCATATATAACCCATACAATCAGCCTTTGGTCTTGAATGGGATTACCCGCCATTGCTCAACCAGGAGTTTCTTAGATTAGTCACCACTGGGCATTGGACATATAGGTTGTAGTCCTTGTTTCCCTTTTCCAGGCCGAGCGAGTCATGTTGCGTTTTTTTTCTTCTATTTTTGACCCACACCCTGAGATTTCTTGGACACCAAGCTGTGAAATGAACCTTTTCATTGCCAGCTCTGTGGGAAGAGTTCTGAAGGTCGCTTTCAGGCGGCCGAGCCTCCCAGAAATCCGGAGGCTTGCAAGCCCACCCCCGGCTCTCCTCACCCGTGGCTCTCTCGCCCTTCATGGCTTCGTCTTGGCGCTTGGCGCCGGGCCATGAAGACGGCGTTCAGGAAAGTCGCTCAAGACCTTGGATTCTGCGTGAATCCAGCGCTCTCAAGTTGCTTCTTTTTTTGTTTGCGTCAGGTCAGGTGGAGTAATCAGCTTCCTCATCCTGATTGCGTACTTGGGACCACAAAAGATGGTTGACGGGTGTTCTAGATTTGGCTTCAACAGGATTCTCATCTCGTACTAGTGTATCACTCTGCCTCGAACAAGTGGGTCGAGTGTCTCCAGCTGTTGAAGCAAGCGCGGGTTGCAATTTGCTTGCAGCGTTTCACAGAAAAGGGCAAACCGAGGAATAAGTTTCCAGCCGTGTCTTCCATGCCAAGGAGAACGACTTCCCTCGCTTTGAGGCTGGCAGTCAGTGTTTTGTGGGAAGCGGGGATAGAAGGACGCGTGTCCTGGCCTTTCATGCCCAGCGTCGGTTGCGCTGGACTTGTTGATTGTTCACTTTGCCGTTGCAGGTTGGTCAAACTCGCACATCCAAATATGCAGCTTCCCTCCAATTGGTGGTTTGGGGATTTGAACCCGGGCAAATGGGAAGCCTCCCTAAGCACCAAACCACCGATTGGGCTCCAAGCCACCAAAAAACGAGGGAGGCCGAAGTATTTGCTGCGACGTTTCGCTGCGACTTCGTGGCGTCGCTGGCTCTCTGGACCGGATGCGAGCCTCGAAGTCGTGGCCAGTGACCAGGCCGTTGGCGCCATTTTGCCCATGCCGACGGCGGTGTTGCTCTGCAGCTTGGACGAAACAACGCCAGGTGTGAGAATTCTTCATCGCCGGTTCGTTTTGATTGTGGTCAACATGTCTTGTGTTATTGTGTTCAGCTAATTCTTATTGGCTGGCATTGGGAGGGCCGAATGCAGACCTTGTTGGCACTGAGAGATCGAGGATTGCCCCCGACAAGAAAAAACACACACACAGTAGAGCGGCCTGGTTTACTTGGTGGTTCAATCAACTACTATTTTCCCAAAAAGGACACCTATGGCCATGCAGCACACCGTGCTCCTTGCTGGTTGGAAGTGCAGCACGTTCCGACCCGAGGCCACACCATGCTGTCCACTGGTCTGAGTGCGGGGGCCTAGCTTGTGCGGCTTGCACCCGCGTCCCGATCAACGCGAGAGCAAGCGCAGCTGAGACGCGTGGGAATGCCCGACATTCCCAAATCTCGTTGCCCACTCTTGCAAGTTCATCACTTTTGGCAGACTTAGACATGAGAACAGCTAGCCCTCATTGGGTGGTTCAGTTGACCGGCCTGCTTTTCCGGCAGCCCAACTGGCACAGTGTGACCTCTCAAACTGACCAGCAATCAGAGCATTTCCGCAGTACCCTGAAAGAGTTGTTGGTTGTTGGTGGTAGGTTGTTGGTGGAAGGCATCCATTCATCCTTTTGCATCAAGAACAGCAATAGGAATCCTCTGACATCCTTCGGCCTTAGGAGATCCGGGCCTGAAAGCTGTCGTTGGACAGTCATCCCGGAGGTGTAGAACAACCCCACTTTCAGTTTGAAGGGCCTCTAGATCAGCGCTAAGCCCACCATTCTGGGCCCCTGCCATGCCCTTTTCGGAAGGCCCATTTCGGTTTCTGAGCGCAGGGCCAGTGTGTCTCAAAATAGGCCCCGGATGGATGTAAAAGGCCAAAAGGAAGCCGCCGAGCTGTCCCCAATCAGGCCCGGGTTGCAGGAGACTTCTGCAGGAAAGCAGCTTTGTGTTTTGCCATGTCCGCCAGATTTCCCGGTTTGTCGTTTGCCGAAGCCCTTTGCCGGGCAAGCGGCAGCAGCTGGCGCGAGAGCGAGCGAGGCACCGCGGGCGCGGTGGCCGTGCTGCTGCGCGCTGCGCTGCGGGAGCCGCTCATTGAGGTGGCCGATGATGCACAGGACTGACCCGGCTTCGAAGCCGCAGCGATGGCTCTGGACTCTGGCCTGTAAGCTCCGTGGATGGGGGGGGTCAAAAAGGGCGCACAAGGAATTGGATGGCTTTACAGGGAAACCAAAATTAAAACCGAAGCCCATTTTGGAGACGGGTTCCCCTATTTTGAGAAACTCCCATGTGGGCATGGGTCAAAATTTAGTCGTCAACAGGAATTGGATCACAGGAATTTTAGTACCCATGTTTCCATTCACCGATCGGGCAAGCCATTTTGGGGTTAGCCTAGTTTTGACCCCACAGCCATTTCCGTGGATGGCAGCGAAATCCAGAAATCGTCGCAACCACGAAATGAAACCATGGTTGAAAGACACTTCATGGTTTGTTACGGAAATGGAGAAAGGAAGACGGGGACCGGGCATTGTTTTGGCAGAACGATGACCGAATTCAATATTGAGAGGACGATGGATCATAATTGACTGGGTCGTTCAAGATCAATCAGCTCTGCCGGCAGCGATTCCCCTTCCAGCGCTGCTCCACGGATTTCAACGGATTTTCGGAGGATTCATGACCCAAACCGCCATTTTCAGCCACGGGTTGCCTTTGTTTGTGCATGGCTGTTTTGTGCTCCATGTCTTCAGGCTCAACACATCCCAATGCAAGGGATCCCAATGCCAGGGATTGTGGACTCTTCGCTGCTGCGAATGGCTTTTTGGCCCGAGAGCGTAAGGAGCTGCGGCTGTTAAAGACCATCGAGATGCTGATCCGCGTGGATTTCCTCCACACCCAGGACACTATTTGATCATGTTTCTTTTTCTTCTTTTTTCTTTGTTTCCTTTTTCTTGGTCCTTTTTTCTATCCTTTTGTATCCTCTTTATTCTGGATCATCTTAAAGTAATTTGTATGTGATAAAGAGATGACCAGCCCATATCTTCCTTTATCAGGCCTTGCCTTGTCCTTACAGTCTTCTCTGTACACAGGAACTAGTAGATAGGACATGATGTAATCCCAAAGTGAAGAGTGACCGAGGGAAGAGGGAACGGAGTGGAAGAGCGGTCAGGTGTACGAGAGACTCAGCCGGTGAATGAAGGCTGGTCCACAGATCCATTTCCTCGCATTTGGGTTAGCTCTTGAATTACATCCCCAAATGAAGCGAGGAATCACGTACACACTCACTCTTTCCCTGCCGTCTTCTCGGCTAGGCTCTCCAACATATCTTTCCCTTGGTTAGTTCCTGTGCTTTCCATGGAACAGGATTCTACAGCTTGGATCAGTCTTCTCTGAGCCTTATCTTCCTCTCATGACCATTCCACAGATGAAAGGAATGGGAAATGGAGAGAGGAAGGGCTCACAGATAGACAAGTCTCGCCTATGGGCTCCATTCCATCTATAACTTGCTCACCGGGAAGACGGTGTGTGGTAGGTATGGGATAGTGCTTCCCTTAGTCTTATCTATATCTCTTTTACATTGTGTTCTAATCCTATCCCAGACCCATTCAACATCAGAACGTAATAAAAGGGAAATCAAGGGTCTGGGGCATCCATAACTTGCTTTCATCTTGGTTCCATCTCCAACTCTAGGCTGTGGAAAGCCATGAGAGTTAGGGAGATGATGAACCCAGGCCAGAGGTAAGAACTGGCCCAATATCATGCCTTCCTTTCCGGGCTCTCTTCTTTCACCCTCATCTATAATCCTCTATTTCCAAGGGTTGGGATTGGTGACGAGGTGAAGAGCGAGGAAGCCCCAATCCAGGAAATGATGAAGAAGGAAAGTCAGGGCTCGTCATCTTTCCTCGCTTTTAAGAATCTTGACCAACAATAAAACCAAGAATAGAATTATAGATGAGGAAAAGATGACCAATAGACGAGAAAGCCAGTCCTTTGCAGCTGTTGGCTGTCCCACATTGTGACCGTTAATTCCGGTCTGTCTCACATCCCTGTCTTCTCAGGAACTTTCCATTGTACATCTTCTTTTATTATTTATTTTATATTTGTATCTTTAATTGCTTTCTATTTCCTTCTTTTGGAGTCACTTGTACATCATATTATCAGCTATTTACTATTAGTGGAATACAATGAAAGAAGAGCCTCCAAAAGAGCGGTTCCACGTCTCTTCGTTCCTTCACACTCTACCATCCAACCCACCGGATACACCGGAGAGAGGGTTGGGTACAGTGTCCACTCTTTCTCCCTCCAGCAGACTCCGAGCTGAGGAGGAGGCGAGAAAGGAATAGGATTAGAATTCACTCTCTTTTACTCTTGCCTTCGTCACTTTAATATCAGCCAATAATAACCCAAACAAACGAAGGCAAGGGAATGTAAGGATGAAGGTAACCTCGCCCTCTTCTTTCCCGTCCATGACGGTGAGGGCAATGATAGGTAAGGAAGATAACGGCTAGGAGAGCCTGGTGCATTAACTCCCTTTCCTTTGTCTCGTGGTTACCTGTCATATCTTCCTCTGTACCCACTCCTGACAAAGACCGAGGGAACGAGGTAAAGGAAGGAAAAGGTGGTCTTCTCTCCGCTCCGCAGGCTATCTCTCTATCCTCATCCTGTCACCGCCGGTGGGCGAGGTTCCAGGGTCATGTCTTTTCCCGTCCTTTTCGCTCGTTGACATTGTGTCCGAGAGAAAAGAGATGACGGGAGAGTGAGAGAGATGTATGGCCCCACCCTTCGTTCGGGTTATAATGTACGTTCCTTCACCGTTCTCCCTCTCTATAACTCCCGAACGGATAGTAAAAGTAAATAATAAAAGTGAAAGAAAGGTATGGTCCGAGAGACCGTGAGTCATTATGTGTGGTTAGGGCCTCGCCCGTTAATTCTATTCCTCATTCCATCGCTTTCCCTTTCCTTATCTTTATTGTTTGCAAATTGTTTATCTTGGAAGTGGAATATTGGGAAGCGATGGAAGGGCTTGTATGGTTATCTCTTTTCTCTCCCTTTTCTTTCATGTTGAGGAAGAGATATTCCACCAACCGTGTAACCCGTTAATTCTTATCTCCTAGATCCTTAGGAATCACAGGTTGGTGAAGTGATGAGTGAAGATGTAAACAAGAAAATAAAGATGGAATGATATGATGGCGTGAAAGCCTTTGGTATCTTCTCTCAATCTACATCTATAATTGGCTTTCACGTAATGCATTCCATCTCTTCCTTTCACTATCCTTCATCCCGCTCCTTCGGTAGAGAGAAGAGCGTGAAGGATAAAGATGATATGATCCCGTCCGTTCTCTCGTGTACTCGCTCACTCGGTAAGACGGTGAGTGCAGAAGGGATTAAGAAAGGACGGGTAGGAAGGAGTTAATATGTGTGAGATTTCTTTAGGACTCGCTGTCCAGGATAAGATGCCTTAGGAACGAGCCAATCAACGGGCGAGCCTTTCCCATTTTCTACGTTCATCAACTTCCCTTAATCTCCAATTCCTTTCCTGACGGTTTATCCCTTCCACTGTATCTTTCCTCGCTTTTAGCTACATCCTTAACAGCGAGGGCACGTCCCTAAGATGTAGAATTATTTTATGGTGAAAATCATAGATTAAGAGAATGGGATAGTGATGAGTGACACGAAAGGAGAGAGAGGGAACGAAGTCAAGGGCAGGCCACATTCAGCATTATCCTTCCCTTTCCCATCTTTATTATTTATCTCTTTATCAGGTCCTTTCTGTAATAACAGCTTTTCATTATCTATTTATTATTATTATTGTTCTTCTTTTATTTGTATTTATATTTATTTTATTTAATGCCTTGTATTTTCTTTTTGCTTTAATTGGGTTTATGTTGGTGGGTGAGTTCAAGACCCGACTGGAAGGACATGTTATATGTCTCAGCAAACGATAAGACTGCAGGAGAGATAGGCTCGGATCGTGTATCCGGTAAGCACCTTTCACTCTCCCGCCTGTTCTCTTTTATTGTTTATTTTTATTTTGTTTGTTTATTATTTTTGGTCTTTTATTGTGTTTATTTGTTTGGGATTATTCTTGTCTTTTTCCCTTGGTTACGTTCCCTTGATTTCTAGGTGTTAATGAGATAGACGTAAAGAGAAGAAGAGATACATGGCATAGCCTGGGAGAATGAATGAAGGAAGTGACTTAGAATGCAGCCAATAGACGGCTGTTAGGACAAGAGATTAACAAAGAAGCGAGTGAAAGAAGCGAGCTGATGCCATCTCTTAATCTGTCTTTTCTTTATTGTTCATTTTCTATTTTATGTTGTCAACCAATGAAGATTAGCCAAGAGTAGGTGTAAGAGAAGAGGGACAGTGTATAGATGAGGTTGAGAGATGAATAGCTACATTCTAGGAATTAATCTATGATTTCTGGTACATTTCTCTTCATTCCAGTTCTCGTCAATAATGCCATCTTATTATATTTGTATTTATTTGTAGCATCTTTTCCTGTTGTAAAAGCTATTACTTCTATCTCTTTCTTATATTAATTCTTCTTAGCATTTCTGGTCTTTTTCATCATGTAATTTCCCGGCTTCTCGGGTCATTATCTTCCTCATCTTTCCATTTCCAGTCTTTAATCTTGGGATTTTGAGAGATTAAGAAGTTAGTAATGACATGTAGAAATGGAAAGGAGATGTGGATAAAGGAACGAAGAAAGAAGTAAATATGATCATGCCTCCATTCATTACTCTTCCTCAAGCCATTTCTTCCCTGTATCTTGTTCTTGGGAATGGAGGCAGTCATGGGAATGAATTACAGGGCAGACCGTAGGGTGAAAAGGTCTGGTATTTGGATATCTTTTATCCCATCCTTTCTCTCGTGCCACCTCTTTCTCTTCTCTGTAGCATATCTCTGTGGATTATTGGTGGCACGAAAAGATGAGGAAGTAATAGCGTCTGGAGCCGCTGGAAGGCGAAAGAGGGGAATAATGGAAAAGAGTTAACCCACGACTCACCAGCGAGAGCGTGTCTAGGGAGTGGGTGTACACATAATGTCCTTCCTACAGTCTTATCTCCGACCCTTAGGTCTACCTCTATTCATTTCTGAGATTAATGGATTTGTGAGAGGAATATAAGTCCTTGAATCACCTATTTATCATTCCATCTTTTATCCCACTCTTCGCTCGTGTCTGATGTTCCGTGTCTTTGTGAGGTCTGTGATTGACGGTAACCACGAGCGAGAAGTGAGGAAAGGAATAGATATGATATGAAGAGCAATGTAAGGTCCACTCCTTCCCCGTCAATGACTCCGGTCAGTCGCTAGGACATGAGGATGAAGTAATGGGTGACAAAGTGACAGTAAATCCTATAATTGGCTTGCCTCTTTCTTCATTCCATGTCAGGTAATGTCTGAGGAATTAACGGGATTTCCTATATCTACACCTTTCCTTATCTTTACCGTTCATTCCAGACATTACACCATCCTAGATCTACAGATGAAGGCAACCGAGAAGAGGTCTGAGCATACATTTCCTATCCTTCATCACCTACCACTTCATCCAACCAGCGAAGAGACCAAGAGCTGGTGAGGGGATGAAGAGGTGATGGGTCATGATCTCTTTTCTATTTCCCGTTAACTTCAATCACAGGAACGAGTAGAGACGAGAGACGGCCTAATTCACGGGAAATAGAATGTAGGTGAAGAGAAGACAGACGAAGGCTGGTCAGCTCGTTATCTCGCTTCCTTCGTACATGCTATCCTTCCTACACCCTATCTCATCTCCAGATGAGCCCGAAGGGAAGGGTGGGAAGGCATGAACGAAGAGCATACCGTGGAAGCCGGAAGGAAATGACGGCTGAGGGCCTTTTCTTTTATTGTGTGTTTCCTTCCATCTTCCCTTCACACGT